CACTTCTTTAACTGTTTGTGGATTCTTCATTTCTATCACTGCTTTACATTTATCTGGATTTACTTCAATGCCTCTCTCAGTGAGCATGAATCCTAGAAATTTCCCTGCTGGAACTTCGAAAGTGCACTTGCTGGGGTTCAACCTCATGTTGTATCCCCTTAACCTGTTAAACACGCTTTGGAGGTGTAGGAGATGTTGTTCAGGTGATTGTGATTTGGTGATCATGTCATCAATGTAAACATCAATGATATCGCCAATCAATTCTTTGAATACATTGTTCATCATCCTCTGATAAGTGGCTCCAGTATTTTTTAGCCCAAACGACATCATGGTGTAACAATAGTTGGCGTTCTGGGTGATGAACGCCGTTTTATCTTAGTCTTCCTCCATCAACGGGATCTGATTGTAACCAGAGTATGCATCCATGAAGGAAAGCATTTTGAAACCGGATGCGTTGTCTACCAGCTGGTCGATACTAGGGAAAGGGTAGGCGTCCTTAGGGCACACTTTGTTCAGGTCAGTGTAGTCCACGCCCATTCTCCATGCTCCACTGGGCGTTTTAACCAACACTGGATTAGACAACCAGGTTGTGTACCTGATTTCCTTGATGAAACCAGCGTCTAAGAGTGTCTTAACCTCTTCATCGATGATCCTTTGGCGATCAGGGCCAAACTTCCTTTTTTTTCTGGGCGACGGGTTTCGCTTTAGGATCTATGGACAGTCTGTGGCAGCACACTTCCGGGTCGATCCCAGGCATGTCAGATGGCTTCCAAGCGAATAAGTCCCTATTATCTCGCAGTAGCTTAATCAACTTGTCCTTCACACCTGGGTCTATGGTTGGCCCGATGGTTGTTGTTTGATGGTCAGCATCGCCTAAAATGACATGTTCCAATGCTCTATCAGGAGTAGGTCTGAAGTGTTCTACCCGAGGGTCATCTCTTGCGTCAAACTCCACCAAAAAATATTGCTCCTGCTCCATCTTCTTCCTACTGGAGCTTTCCTCAATCATCTGGGTTGTTGCCTGGTGGGATGTCAGTTGGTCTTTGAAGGAGACCTTGGATGCAGGTTTGAGAGAGATGTTGTAACAGCTTCTGGCTACTGTTTGGTCCCCTCTTATTGTTGCAATATTGTTGTCCCTCGCCACGAATTTCATGGCCATGTGTGGGTGGGAGATGTTGGCCTCGAAGGCGGCGAACATTCTTCTTCCAAGGATGGCGTTATAGGCTGAAGGAGTGTCAAGCACTAAGAATTAGATGTCGGCTGACTTTGAGGTGGGTGATGTTCCCATTGACAGCCACAGGTTGATTATGCCGAGGGGTTTGGTGACTGTTGCATTGAAGCCTGACAACTTTCATACAACTGGGGTCAAGTCATTAATTGTGAACCCTAGAGCCCTGAAACAAGGTAAAAATAAAATGTCAGCAGAACTGTTGTGGTCAACGAACACTCGATTCACGCCAAAGTTAGCGATTATAGCTTGAATGACCAAGGGATCATCATGTCCAGGGAGAACATTGCCCAAATCTTTGCTGTCCCACACGATTTTAGGCTTTGCGGGACCTACTGCAGTTTGTGCTTTGTTGATGACTTTGCCAGACACCGCCAAACACTGCTTCAAATGCTTCTTTATGGTGTTAGCTGTTTCTCTGCCCCACTCAATTCGCCTGAAATCATATTTATTACACTGTGTTTGATGACAGCTGAGTCTTCCTCATCTTCTTCCCTTCCTCCTCTGGTGTTTGGACCGATCTGCTCCTTCTATTTGGTTGCATTCACGGCAGGGCCTGTAATCAGCTTGGTTGGTTCTCCTTCTTTCAGGTGACCTGCTACGCTTTGGGCGACATCTGGCTGGACCAACTTCGCGTGTTGAATTATTATATTTTCTCTGGGCTCCTCCTTTGATTAGCTCATCAATCTCTTCCTTAAGATATCTGCATTCTTCGGTGCTATGGCCATTGCTACGGTGGAATTTGCAGTACATGGTGGTTTCCCTGGTAGGCTCTTGGCGTTATGAGTTGGTCTTACACTCTTCTTTATATTCAGTTTGTAGGACGCTGTGTGATTGGCGCCCCGAGGGGCCACGCCTCAAAGGGCGGCTGGTATATCTAGAGGACTTGTGAATTTTCCTTTCCTCGTCAACTTGGTCTTTACTTTTACTTGCTTTCTTCTCTCGGTTGTGGGAGTCGTCAGCTCTGCTCCCCTTATATTCTTCGATCCGCATGAACCCTTGAGCTTTTTACTTGACCTCTTCCAGGTCAGTTATTTCGTGGCGGGCTAGTTCATAGGCGAACGCCCCTTGTCTCAGGCCTGACAAGAGTATGTGTACCTACACTTTAGGGTATAGGCCCTGAACCTGCAAAGCTTTTTTATCAAAGCGTTCTAGTAGGGATCTGAGGGACTCCCCTGATTGTTGGCGAACTTTTTCAAGAGAATAGACCGACTTGGGCACGGGGCGACTTGTTACGAAATGAGTTTGGACCTTGCTTTCCAAATCATCCTAGGACGTATTACTCCCAGTTGGCAAAATGGTGTACCACATTAATGCTCTCATGCCCAGAAGTGCAGGGGAAGGTCCTGCACACGAGGAGATCAGTCTCGCATTCTATGGTCTTTGTACTGGCATTCTACAGGTTGGTGGGTGTAAGGTCTAGGGGCATATCTGGTGACTACTGGCATTCTATGGTTATTGTACACAGCTACAGGTTGGCTTCAGGTCAGCTGTTGATACATGGGGGGTGGAACTGTTTGTGGGACTGTGGTAGGGAACAACGTTCCATAACCAACTCCAGGTGGTGGGGGTTGAGTTGGGGCTAAGTTCTCTGCTTGAACTTCATGTATGGCTACGCGATGATCCAATTGTGCTATTCTGGCGTTAGCTAGTGGCACCTGTGCATCGACATATTGCAGCACCGGGGGGAGAATTTCAGCAGCTGCTTGCTCGGCTGGGGCTGACTATATGGAAGGCGGGGAACTGGAGTGGACAGTTTGTGCATGACCTTCAGGGGTAGTGTCTCTCGTCTGCTCTGCTCTTCTCGTAGTGACGACCATAATTCCTAAGGGAATAGGAACTGCCTTCTGTAGATCTTTGGTAGGAGAGTGGGAATAGAAGTTTATAGTTTCCCACAGACGGCGTCAATGTACCGTTGGAATCTATAAGCCCACTATATTCCCTTTGGGGGATGAAATCTTTGTATGGGTTATACCTCTAGCAAAGGTATGGACCAAGCTATGAGGTATTGTTCCAAGTATGATGCAAACAGATAACAATGGAGGTTTGGGTGTGTGTATGTGTGACTTAATGTAAATGGGCAGAATAACGATACATAAGATACATTTCCTTGTGTGAGGAAATTGGTATATATAGGGAGAAGGGGGCGTTCCTCCTGTGTGGGTTGGTGAGGAGGGGGTCAACTCTCCTTGGATCAGCTAGGGGTGACTGTATCACTGCTATGATAGCAGTGATGGAGCCCTTGTGCCTGGCGACGAGCCTGGCCATGTCAGGGTATCACGATATGATAGCTACTACTTATAGTATCTGGGGAGTCTCCTAGGGGGTTGGAATCCCAAGGTGAAACATTTTGGTGTCTCACCTAGGGAGTGCAATCGCCTTTGGGACAGAGAAGTTGGCGAGTTGGTAGGGCTGACGTGAAGAAGAGCAAGAGAGTTTGAACTTAGGCTATTGGGCCATTCGGAACAGGTTATAAAGCACAAATTAATTCTAGAGACTTAAAATCTTTTTTCTATGGAAAAAAGAAAGAAAAGAAAAGCATACAAGCCCCTTCAATTTCGGGCCTTTGGTGAGTAGATGCTTCAACTTTTGATTTTGGCAATTACCCCATGAATTTTAAAAAATGTTTCAGTATTCACTTTTATTAACTTTAGTAAATTCATACTCGAACCCTCTATAACTTTGGGCCCGTGGCAGTTACATGCCTCAACTCTAAATTTTTTAAATTAACCCCCTTGAATTATGAAAATTGTTTCAATAGCGCAATATTCTTCATTTTTTAAGAAAGTACCCATAACCAGAAATTTCCTACCAACAATTCTACCAAGATCCATCGGTTCCATAGTGAACAATTGAACATATACTCAAACCAAATTTTCAATAAAATTAGTCATTACTTTGAGTGCAAAATAGATAATGTTTTATTTATTTATTTATTTAAATTAGAGGAGGTTAATTGCCAAAATCAACAGTTGCTGGGTGTATTTGTCAAAATCCGAAATATGAAGAGGATTGTGTATATCTTAAGCTTTATCATTATAAACAAAGAAAAACATAAGAAATATGGTATAAAACTGAGACAATGTTTTGTTACTCCCTCACATTTTTCGTGACTTTTTTTGCAGGCATAGAGATTCTCAAGTATGTCGACAGTGTAACTCCTCAATATTATATAAGTCTAAAATTTACGCACTTAATCGAACGCTTACCAAATCTTTAGGCTTGGTTAAATTCTCCAAGTCAAATACATTACATCTAAGTGTTATATGTTTAGTTTTTACACTACAGTTAGTGGAGCTGAATGATTTGTGACGATAAGAACGATTGAGTATAGGGCCAAGTACTAAAGTGACTTCATTACATATCTTAAAGTTGCCTCCACCACAAGAATTTCAAATCCTCTGCGAAGTTGCAATATACCTAATTAATAGTTAAAAGAGGCTTGGCGTTGAAACAAACCAAATGAATTTATTATTTCTGCAGCCATCGTAGGCAGTGTTATCTGCAGCTGACACAGAAAAGTGGGCTCCACAGCTTTAAAAAAAAAAATTATTTTCAGCTTTAAAAAAAAAATACAGGATCCGGAAGCTGATCCTGACTTGTTGTAGATACAGCGGCTGCAGAAATTATTTTGCCTCAAAACAATTCAAAACGAGACGGAAAGTAAATGTACCAAAAAACAATTATTAATAATAATAAAGATGAAAGCTGAAAGATACAGAAGATCAAAATCTGTACATTTCATAATAAAATTAATTTCAACTCTTCCCCCAAAGACAGTCTATAAATGTACTTCTACAAAATAGAATAACTTTGAATTATGGTTCAACATTTGGCAGACTGAATGTACAAAATGAACAAAGAAACACAAAATGTATTTCAGAGAGATTTCGGCAGATTAGGATTCCAGACAAGAGCAGCAATGAACTCGGAAAAGGGCTCAAAACTTCCGTATGGCATTTGGTTTCTGAAAGACCTGATTCCAGGAGGGGCTGCAGCTTGACTTGGGATTATACATTTACATATTTACTCTGAACTGGCTTCCTTCTTCTGGGACAGCAGGTCACTTGTTAGCTCTGCATTTTTATTCAAGGCCTTCCTTGCTAGCTCATAACCTGCAAAATTCATGGCACCTAGGGGAGCAATCCAAAAGAACCTGGGAACTGCACCTTTAAATAAGCCAAGAGGTCCTTCGTGGCGGAGTATAGAGAAGCCTACTAAGGTCATTGACACAGACCGACCTTGTGCAGTCATCATTCTAGTTTTCATGACATCAAAAGGTGTTGTGGTGACAGCAGCTAAGCCACCAGATAAAGCTCCAACAGCAACTGTCTCCCAAGCCTCCAGTTCCCGCCCTAGTAGTTGTTGGACAGCCTGCCAAGACCAATATGACACTCAGTATCCAAAATATTATATACTACTAATCATTAATGACTGATGGGCCTTCAATAAATATCCAAGCCCATTAGTTATTATTAGTTAGGATTAGTATATATAGACATTTAGGGTGAGGTTTCATTAGGAATGAATTTAGTATTGACTTATGGAGAAATTGGGGACCTCTAAGAGTTGAGACTTCTAGGTTTATTTTCTGCATATTAGTGTATGTAAAAGAGGCAATGCCTCCATTATCTCTATAATTTCAGTGTTATTTTTCTGGTCCAAATATTTATTGAAGGCTCATCAATGACCAAATACCATGTATTGTAAATATTAGAATTAATGTTGTAATTATTTTCTTATTATTTGTATTAGCTAGAATACTCTAGAAGTGTCTTTGGGGTTACCCCATTATGTTTTTTAATCTCTTTAAATAGAGAACCCTTGTACAAATATTATACAATTCAATTATATACAACTCTTTATTGAGTAAGTACTGAATACACTACTTTTTTTATTCCTGAGCCTGATATTAATTTTGTTGACTTACCCATTGCTGTAAGAAAAGGGAAAAGGTCTTGTACCCAACACCCCATTTCTCATGTTGTCTCCTCTAAAAATCTCTCTCTGCAGCATAGAAGCTTTATTACAGCACTTGACTCCATTTCAATCCCGAAATCAGTACATGAAGCATTAAAGGATGACAATTGGGTTCAAGCCATGCATGACGAGATGAATGCATTGGAGAAGAATAATACATGGGAAGTCGTTGACAGGCCAAATGGAAAAAGGGCAGTAGGATGCAGATGGGTGTATACTCCGAAGTATAATTCTGATGGGACTCTTGAAAGGTATAAAGCTTGACTGGTTGCCAAGGGGTACACACAGACCTATGACATTGATTATAAAGAAACGTTTGCTCCAGTGGCCGAAATAAACACTGTAAGAGTTCTATTGTCCCTTGCTGCTCATTTTAATTGGGATTTGAGACAATTTGATGTGAAAAATGTCTTCTTCAATGGCGAATTAGAAGAAGAGGTTTACATGGAGATCCCACCAGGATTTAACTCTACAAATGGAGAAAACAAAGTATGCAGGTTAAAGTTGAAGCAATCCCCGCGTGCATGGTTTGGAAGATTTACAAAAGTTATGCTTTCATTGGGGTGGGTACAAGCAAAGTCAAGGGAATCTTACACTTTTCTATATACATTCTCAGGAAGGTAAGCTCACTATCTTTCTAGTTTATGTTGATGACATTATTATAACAGGGGATAATATAGATGAGAAGCATGCTCTGTAAGAAAGACTGACGGCTAAATTTGAAGTTGATGACCTTGGAAAACTGATAGAAGTTGCTCATTCAAAGCAAGGGATCTTTATTTGTCAACGAAAGTATGTTCTTGATCTCCTCCTTAAGGAAGTAGGAAAACTTTGCTGTAAACCTTTCAATACTCCAATTGAGTAGAATCACAAACTAGGAAGTGAAAATGAGAGTCCTCCAGTTGACAAATGACAATATCAACGAATAGTGGAAAGATTGATATATCTAGCTCATACTAGACCTGATCTAGCTTATGTAGTTAGTATTGTTAGTCAATTCATGCATGATCCGAGGGAAAAACACCTGCAAGCTGTGGATAGGATTCTCCAATATCTAAAAAGCACACCAGGGAGAGGACTATTATTCCAAAGAGGAGAAAACTTATCCTTAGAAGTGTATACAGACGCCGATTATGTTGGATCCGTGACTGACCGACAGTCTACCTCGGGCTATTGTATGTTTCTTTGTGGAAATATCATAACATGGAGAAGTAAAAAGCAAAATGTGGTTGCTAGGTCGAGTGCAAAAGCAGAATTTTAGGCCATGACTAAAGGTATCTATGAGTTTTTACAGCTGAAAATCATTCTCGATGATCTCAAGGTGAGATGTGAAGGGTCTATGAAGTTACTATGTGATAACAAGTCAGCTATCTGTATAGCCCACAATCCAGTCCAATACGACCGAACCAAACATATTGAGATTGATCGCCACTTCATCAAGGAGAAACTAGATAGCGGACTGATCACTACTCCATATATTCCGTCTAGTTATCAATTGGCTGATGTCTTGATTAAGGGTCTTCCTAATGATAGGTTTCAAGAGCTTACTAGCAAGCTGTGAATGATAAGTATCCATTCCTCAGTTTGAGGGGGAGTATTGTAAATATTAGAATTAATGTTGTAATTATTTACTTATTATTTGTATTAGCTAGAATACTCTAGAAGTGTCTTTGGCTTAGCCCATTAGGTTTTTTAATCTCTTTAAATAGAAAACCCTTGTACAGATATTATACAATTCAATTATATACAACTCTTTACTTTCAATTCCATGAGTCCATGAAAATTTGGAAATAGAGAACATTCACTCTACCCCAAGCCTATCATACAATGCAAAGTCTAGCTGCATAAATCTCAGTAATTTCTATGGACAAACTCAAGTCCCCTAAAAGACACCGAGAAGTATGTTGGATCATGGAAACTACTACCTTTTTAGATTGTTCATATAGGCCCGTACCAGCAACATAAAATGGAACCTCACGACAAAGGGTAGCTCCAGTTCCACGAAAGAAACCCCCAAGTCCATCCTGGCGCCATGTACCAACTAGAGCCTCACCCAAATTGTCATAAAGACCTGCCTGCAGCCGCTGCTTTAACACTTCACAGGGGATCCGCATTGCCGTTCCCAAAATTGTGCTACAGAATGATAATATAGATTGTACCTACAGAAATACTAATAATAATAACCTATGCTTGATGGATTTTGTAGAGTACCAACAGATAAGGTAAGAAGTAAGAACTAATTAAACTACATGATGTACCTAATATTTCTTCTTTTTTTTATGAAAGAAGAAATTCCTTAAGATGAAGAGCACAAAATTACGAAGGATTTGGACTCTAAGGGATCCTCAATAATGGAAAAGGAAAAATAAGAACAAAGAAAATACTAAACAACTGTTTTCGGTTTAGCTATATTCGTTTTATTACCAAGTCTAATGCAACAGCTTTACTAATCCCTTATTAGCGTAGAAAAATTTTAAGATTGATTTGGTGGGACAAGACACGGACATCTTCTTAATTAGCTGAATGCCAGTTCTCTAAATTGCAAACGATATGAAAGGAAAATGGAAGATCAAGAAAAACACAATCAGCAGTGGCCCAGAGTATAAACAAGTATCAAATGGGATATTATTTACTAATTACCTGGATTTCTGGTAATGTTGGAGCAACATTTATCAACACCAACTTACTAGCTTCAAATATCCCAGTTCGCAAGCCATGGCTGTATTATCAAAAGTTAGCATGAGCTTAAACAGAAAAAAAACTATTCTAGTTAACTGAAAGCATTAGTAAAGCTTGCCCCTTTTCTTCTGCTTAGTTTGATGCCATAGAAAAATGGGATCAAAGGAGATGGGAGAGGTGAAACAAAAAACCTTGAAAACTGTCCAAGAATTGCAGGGATTGACCCCTTGTATAAACCCCGTGCTCCAATCTGCGGAAGCTTGGAAATGATTTCAGGGAAGGACAGTGTGGATGCTTGAACTTGGGTCTAAAATACCATACAACACAAAAGGTCTTGGTTATTAGCAAAAAATGCCTTAAGAGGAATATGGAATTACGTCCACCATATTTGCAGACAAAAGCATCAAATTCATCAGTAACCAGAGAAATTATTAAGTTCAATAATTTACCTTAATTGTATCAACAGGATGCATTAATGCACAAGAAAGGGCACAAGAAAGGCCTCCTGCCAATGCAGATCTTAAAACACTTCCAGCAGGAATTTCAACAGATGGTGGAACAGCAACTACAGTTGCAGCTTCAAACCAAATATTCCTAAACAACAAAAATAGGTACTAATTACGAAGAATATAATGCCAAAGCAGTAACCAATTGGCCAAACAGAAAGAAAGAATGAACATAAGAATTGCAAGAAAAAACTATTTCTCTTTTCTGAATTTTATTAAACAAAAACAACCAAATAACCCTTCTCTCCTGTCTACTCCAAACTCTTCCAGCAAGAATCAAGATATACCTTAAAAATTTCTATAGTAAAAATATTGAAAAATGGCCATGTATAGATGGACAAGTACAAGCTGGCCAGGCGTAAAGAATAGCTCTTTCACCTATAGATATTAAGCCTGACAACAAATAACTTACTACCACATTTTGACAATATATAGTAAATGGCACCTATTGTTTCAGTGATAATGAATTGCTTGCTTCACATCCCCGGGACAAAGCACATGCTTGAAAAACTTTTTACACTATCACTTAAGATGAAAACATTTTTAACCTTTTGTTTTCCTCCAAAATTGACCTTTCATTAAGTGTTAGCAAGGAGAAACAACCTCAGTCATAGTGCTAACACTGTTCCACCCATTCCCAAGAAAAAAAAAATTCAACAAATGAATAGATAATGGACTTGGAATATAATGAATATTGAGGAAAAAGATAATCCAAATGATCATATTTTTGTTACCTTGGATCCTCTCGAAGACGATCAGAAGGAAGTAGAATCATGAAATTGCGAAAATGTCCATAAGAAATAGATCCTTCAGCGTCTGCATTTAAAAATCGCATCATAGCAACTGCATTGCCTTCATTTGCAGGAAGTCTTGCATTCTTTAATGATTCCAATATTTCACTTTTCTTTAATGTCCCAGATTTGCTTAGACATAGAGAAGTATATGCACGAAGAATTGTTGGCTCCTTCTGTTCCATTAATGATAAGAATTGGTTCCAACCGAAAGACTTCGAAAATAAGTGACTTCGAGTACGTCTCATAAATTCATGAGCATATCTTTGTGGCAGTTTTCTCTTTCTCATTGCAATTTCTAGATCTTCCATAGTTACTTGGCCATCACTATCTCTATCTAGCTCCTCAAAGAACCTCCTCCCTGCAAAGATAATGAGGGTGAAGATAAGTATAATTTGTCATGTGAGATGGTAGCAAAAATAAAAGATTGTCATATCCAATTAAATAAACAAGAAATTTTGACTAAATAACATCACCGAAGATGCCAAACAGATTATCTAAAAGATTGGTAACACATTCCACGCAATTTTACACTACAAATAAGAACTAATATAAAGACTTGTGATTCCATAGAAAGACATCACAATCCCTTGAGGGACAAAAAATAATTTCCTGAGACGAAAATAAAGATAATAAATTCTTACCAAGATAACTAGAAGTTCCAACCAATAAGAACCCCAATGAATCTACAAAAAGGATAAAGGCCCAAAATATTTGATTGTTTTTCAAGACCCAGAAATATTAAGTTCTATCCATATACATTTTGATCGCCAACTCATACTTGATCCAGATGTACTTTATTGGAATAGGGGGAATAAAAAACCCATTGTTAGAAATGAACTAAAAATATCATTTATGTGTCTTCACCTTATAGCTTAAGTTTTTGATAGTTGGCTTTTAATATGATATCAAAGTCTTTATGATGTGAATTTGGGAATGATGCTAAGGGATGCAGTCCAAGTCCGATTTGGTGAAATTTTGAGATCTGAAGAAAAAGAATTCAAGGAAGCACTCAATGGACTGATTAATGAAATCTGGTTAAAATCATATTTATTTCACATTCAGCTTGACCCACATTTTCAAGAGATTTGGCTTCAAAATATTTGGCATATTTCGGAAGATAAGATCATTTGTTTTGAATTTGATTGGTTGCCAAGTTCCCCATCACAATCTTTCTTCAATTATTTCGATTATTTAGTTATACTTGTTTCCTTATTTTTAGGAGAATCTCAGGAGGACGTTGGTGAGGACGCTTATGGCGGGGACGTTCGCAGGGGAGATTTGAAGAGTCAGTATGCCGACTTAATTTGTACTATTTGTCTTGGGGACTTAGGTCCCCTTTTTGGGTTTGTATAAACATTGCCATTATTATTTCGGCCTTTTAAATTTAATTCTGCAAGTTAATTCGCCTTTTATCCTTTCCAAGGTTATTGCTTTTATTCGGCTATGGGTTTGAGATCCCATTTATACCACTTCTTGAAGTTCGACCTTGCGGGCTCGCTGGCCCAGTCAAACCCTTTGCACTTTTCCTTATTCTGGTTTTGCATATCGAACTGTGGATATTGAATTAATAATAATTTTTGTCCTTCATCGATAATGATAAACTTTATAAGAAATTGCGTCGTAATGGAGGACTTATAGTTTTGTCCCATTTTTACGCTGGAGAATTAACAATGACTGAGCTTACAAGCTCGTCTTATTTGTATGGAAATAAATCTTGTCTATGGACTGAGCTCAGAGGCCCGTCTTATTTGCATAGAAGTAAAATCTTGCCTATGGATTCTTGGAACTCAGACTTCGAGCTCAGCTATAGTAAGTTTTAAGCTTGTTTGCGTTCCAAGTTCTTTTAATGGGCTTCTTTGAAGTCGTCTCCAAAATGTAGGCTCATTTTCCCAAGTTTTCTTTAACTCTGTAGGGGCCTTCCTAATTTGCAGCGAGCTTTCCATCTCTGGAATTTTTGTTGCCGATGTCCGCCATTCTTAGTACTAGGTCGCCTTTCTGAATGACCGAGGTCTGACCTTCCTATTATACCTTGCCGCCATGAGACGTTTTGCCATAATATCCTTGTATCTGGCATTTTCCCTGTTTTCATCCAACAGGTCGAGCTCTACCGTTAGGGCTTCATTATTTTCTTCCTCACTTCCTTGCAATCTTTGCATCCTTCTCCAAGATGGTTCTCCGATCTCGATCTGGTCATCGTTTCACAACCATAGGTCAACTTGAATGGGGTTTCCTCTGTAGAGGTTTGGGTACTTGTTCTGTATCCCCATAAAACGAGGTGTAAATGTTGTACCCAATTTTCTTTTGCATCAAACATTTTCTTTTTAAGCCCGTCCACAATCACCTTATTTGCAGCCTCGGCCTGCCCATTAGATTGGGGGTGCTCTACAGAAGCAAAACGGTGTTTGACCTTGTATTCAAACATGAGTTCATGGAACTTCTTATCAGCAAATTGAGTTCCGTTGTCTGTGATGATCTCGGCTGGGATTCCAAATCGGCTCACAATGTTCCTTTCAAAGAACCTTTGAACTCTGGCCAAGGTTATGGTAGTGAAGGGCTTGGCTTCTATCCACTTGGTGAAGTAATCTACGGCTATTATCAACCAACGGAGTTGTCCCTCCGCTACAATGAACGGACGTAAAAGGTCCATTCCCAATTTATAAAATTGCCAGGGTGTCGTGATATTGTAGAGCTCCTCTGGGGAGCATGATGGACATGTGCATGTTTTTGGCATTGGTCACATTTCTTTACGTGCTCTTTGGCATAGGGTGTAAATAGGCTAGGCTAGGCTTTGGCTTAAATAGGTCAGGCCTGTGTACAAAAAACATTGGGTATGGCCTGGCCTATTAGCCTGTGTAGACCCCAAACTACAAGTCTGGCCTGACCTACATTTAAAAAATAAAAGCCTTGGCCTAGGTCTGTTAGCCTGTTTAAGCCTATTAAACATTCAACAATTAAAAGAATAACTAAAACAATATTATTTTATTATTCAAAATTATTAAATTAATAATTTTATTTATTATATTTTAAATAAATAATATGATATAGGCCGGCCTGTAGGCTTATAGGCCTGATATGTACAAAAAAAACCTATGGCCTGTTTTCTAAATAGGTTTTTTTAAAAGCCTAGACATGTTCTATTTTACTATTTATAATAGGCCAAGCCTGACCTAATATAGGCTAGGCCGTAGACTTCTGTAGGCCGGCCTAGCCCATTTACACCCCTAGACATCGGCCTCGATTGTGGGCCAGTAGTATCCAGCTCGTAATGCTTTTCGAGCTAGTGATTTGCCTCCTAAGTGATGACCAATGATGCCTTCGAGGATCTCGGCCAGAACGTAGTCCGCCTCGTTTGGATCCAAGCACTTTAGCATTGGAGTGTAAAATCCTTTCTTGTATAACTGTCCTTCGAGCACAGTATAACTTGCCGACTTCTTGATCAATTTATTGGCATCTGAGACCTCGTCTGGGAGTCTTCCCTTTTCTAGATATGTCACTATGGGCTTTCTCCAGTCTTCTCCATTGATATTAACATGATGTAGCTCGGTTCTGGGATACTTTGTTAGATCACAGTTCTGTGGTTTCCCGAGCTTTTGGTACTGGCGAGCTTTGACAATATGTCTGCTCTAGTATTCTCATTTCTTGGAATGTATTGGACTTTAGCTCCGTCGAACTCGAACAGCATTTCCTTGACTGTACCGAGATACTTCATCATGAGGGGGCTTTTGGCTTGGTATTTTCCCTCTACTTGGGAAGTCACGAGTTGGGAGTCACTAAGAATTTTGATTCTTTTAGCTCCGTGTTCCCTTGCCTGCAGTAACCCTGTCAGGAAAGCTTCGTACTCAGCTTGGTTGTTCGAAGTCTGGAACTCGAGGTGTACAGAGTGCTCGATGGACACTCCCTGCGGGCTTTCAATTATCACCCCAGCTACACTTCGTTTAACGTTTGATGATCCATCCACGTAGATTGTCCACATGTCGTCTGCAGGACCGAGTTCTCCTTTGGTGGTGGGAGCTAGTTCCATTACAAAATCCGCCAGAGCCTGTGACTTTATTGCTTGACGAGGTTCACATGATATATCAAACTAAGAGTTCCACTGCCCAATTTATCATTCTTCCAGCCAAATCTGGCTTATGCAATACTTGTCGAATGGGTTGATTCGTTCTTACGATTATCCCATGTCCTTGAAAATAAGGTCAGAGTCTTCGTTTTGTGGTCAACAAGGGAAAAACAACCTTTTCTAACCTTTGATATGTGAGCTCTGGTCCTTGCAAGGTTCGACTAACAAAATATATCGGTTGTTGGCTTTTATTTGTCTCACGTGCCAGTGCGGCACTAACTGCTTCTTCGCCCACAAAAAGATACAAAATTAGCGTCTCCCCTGACTCTGGTTTTGACAATACGGATGGGGTTGAGAGGCATTTCTTTATCTCCCTGAAAGCCATATTACATTCTTCTCCCCATCCAAATTCAGCTTCCTTTTTTAAGAGTTTGAAGAAAGGGAGGGACTTCTCTGCCGACCTCGGTAGAAACCTTGTGAGGGCAACAAGCCGTCCTGTGGCTGTAAGTGGATTTCCTTTTTATTTTGGGGTTCTTTCATTTCGAACATTGCTTTGCATTTTTCGGGGTTAACTTCAATTCCCCTATTTGTGAGCATAAAGCGTAATAGTATGATTATGTGATTGTAATTAGGAAAGAAATCAGCATTAAAAAAGGGAAACCCGGGTAGGGAGGGGTGTACTCGGGTAAATCTCGACCAGAAACCCCAAAACCGGAGAGAAAGACATCCAATTAAATAGGTAGCAAGTAGTGAAAACGGCATCGTCCCAAAACCGGAAAGAACATTGCCATGGAGTAAGAGAATCTGAGTGGTTTCAATAAGATGATTTGTGCGCTCAACCTCATTTTGTTGAAGGATATGCGCACATGAAGTTTGGTAAAGAATGCATTGTAAAGAATTTTGGTAAAAAGGGAACAATAATTTTTCTGAATAATTCAGATTTCTTTCTTGCTTTTCATCAAAGGGATTAGTACAATATATAGAGAATAAAGGCTTTACATCAGATCAGCCTTTTTTGCTAAGATGAAGGGTACAATCCCTATAAATCAGCTACACACTAATTAGGAAAGAAATCAGCATTAGAAAAGGGAAACAAAATTGTAACAGATTAGGAAGAAAATAAATACTAATTCAAAAATAAATAACTTCAGAATAATTTCCAGAAATCAAGCAACGATGGAGCGTATTTATTGAGGCGCAATCAATGAGGATCAATTATTGTGGTGCATAACAACACATTGAGATGCCATAAATATTTGAAATAGTTGAAATAATATTCGAAAGGTTTTGGGGTTTCTGGTCGAGATTTACCCGGGTACACCCCTTCCTACCCGGATAAATAATTCAAGCAATTTCCCAGATGTCATAAATAACTTCAGAATAATTTCCAGAAATCAAGCAACGATGGAGCGTATTTATTGGGGCGCAATCAATGAGGATCAATTATTGTGGTGCATAACAACACATTGAAATGCCATAAATATTTGAAATAGTTGAGATAATATTGGAACGGTTTTGGGGTTTCTGGTCGAGATTTACCCGGGTACACCCCTTTCTACCCGGGTAAATAATTCAAGCAATTTTCCAGATGTCAAGAACTATACCCGGGTACACCCCTCTCTACCCGAGTAAGCATAAATTTTCAAAAAATACCCGGGTAGGGAGGGTGCACTCGGGTAGGCTTGATGGTCAACGATCAAATAGGGGCAGATTGGTGTTATGTTTTTTGAGGAGGCTAAATTTTCGAAATAGTTTATAATGAAGGTCAATTTGGTAATTAATTATTAATAAAGGGTTATAAGGGTCAAAAAGCTGTTTTCTTTGAGACTTTACTTTTTTTTTTCTTTTGTAGAAATAAATATTAATAGCAAGTTGCTGGCAAGAGATCCAGAAAGAACCAATTTATCTTCAATCTTCTTTTCAAATATAATCCAGAAACTGAAACAAGTGGCATCCACTTTTTCCATTCCTTGAATACCCTAATTAATCTTAAAAAGCAGATCTCTCAATCTACCAGGAACTTCCAAGAACCAGTTTCCAAAAACAAACAGCTTTTTGAAGTTAAAGCACTCTTGACCTTTCCAAACCTAAACCTACTGGGGGAAAAACATGATTTCTTCCCAGGAAATTAAGGCCAAGGCCATAGGAAGTTTTCTCCAACTAACCTACATTCTGGTAAACTCCAATGACATTACCTCCCAATAACATTCAACCCAACCTTACCTCTTGAAATAGAAATTATAAGCTAATTGTCGATATCTTCATAAGTGTCACAGGGCTCATAAGTCAGATCCTTCATCACTTTAGTTGATATTGTGTGTAATAATGAGACCAAGAAAGGTTTTAATAAAATAATTAGAATTATGGAATTATGGAAAAGCACGTTGAAGTCTAGAGGATTTATGCTAAGTCAGAGTAAGATTGAATACATTGAGTGTGAGTTTGCTCCAGCAAGAGATGGAGATCAAGATTTCAGCATTTGATTATTTTTATTTTTATTTTTATTTTTTTTATGTTTTTTATCTTCCATCAATCTTTTCTCCCTTATTATTAGGGTTCATCTACCACCGACCGTAACCAATTTGGGATAAAGGTGTTGCTGATGATGAGGGAAAGATATTATTTCCGCTCATTTAGGCATGCTGATATTGTCAGAGACCCTTGTCCACATGCATACCAACATTCATATAATATCCATATATACAGGCGTATGTTAATTAAATGCATTTCACAATTTCAAATATTCAAACCTCATCATATTCAAAGGGATTTTGTATTTCACTAAATCAATAACCTAAATTGCTAACTAGAGTTTACAGGGTTTTATGCACCTAAAACTTATATTTTTTACCCTAATTGAGATGCCATACCATACCTTCAGCTTCTGTGTATCTGAAGAAATCTTGTACAGAGTATAGTTTCTTCTTGTCAGGATGCACTTCAGAAGCTATCCCCTGCTGCGGTAGCAGATCAACCAATTCTGTCAATGAAACAATGGAAAGTGTAGACTTTATACGCTCTACATTAGAGAAAGGAAAACTGAGTATGTTAGTGGCAACCTTCTGAGAACTTTCCCCATTGTTTGCCATGCTTTCAGTAGTTGCACTGCCATCCCCCTCTTCATTTTTTGAAGGGCTTGGCCCAATTGCACTTGATGGTATACCATCCACCTTTGCAAATCCCAAATTCCGCAAGAATCCATTCACATTCACTTTGTGCCCTTGCAAAATATTAGTGAGCGCATTCCAATGACAATAAGGAAACGAAAATTTTTGCTCACAGTCACTATCATTTTCTTGCACTCCAGGATCAAGTATCTGAATAGTCTGAGATAACTGAACAAAGTTAAAACATATCAGGCATTCAAGTGAAACTTGCTTTCCCTCCTTCTCCCTCACACCTTTTTCCCCTGTAGTTTTATCAAACTGACCCTTAGATCCACTTCGCTTCACTTCACATGAAACAGTGGGCTTCATGCAAGAACACAATTTATCATCATCAAATCTCTTTCTCCCAGATTTGAAAGGACCTGGCAAAGACTGAAAAAATTCATTAACCAGCAAAGACCAATTAACAGCAAACTGCAAGAAATTTGGACAAGAACCATCTTCTTTATCCACCACCTCCTTCTCCTTCAACCCTCCACCCAATACTTGGCCCCTATTCCCATTTACTGAATTTGGTGAAAACATGCCTAAGAAAAACTTCCAATTGACATTTGTTGGCAATCTTTTCTTTCTCTCATCAGCAACCACACCCTTACCACCCTTCTTCTTCACACCACAGATCTGAAACTCGCCACCTTCATTCACCTGTGCAATCAACGGAACCTCATTGCCCTTGTTCCTAGTCTCACCACAAAAATGCTCAAGATCCTTTGCTGCCCTCCTAATCCCCACTTCCAATGGCAAAAACGCTTCTTTAACAACACTAATGGAATTGTAGAAAGACTCAACTGGGTCATTCCCTGACACCATCATTGACCAAACCTTTGAAAATATCAGAGTTCTATGTACCCTTTTCCCCCACTCTTCACACTTCAGAACTCGCAAAAAGTGCAAAACTAAAATCAACTATGCATGCACATAGTTAAAAGAAACAACTGTATCAGATTGTTTGTTATCAAGATCAGGGTAAAAAAACCCATTAACTTGTTGAGACCAAAAATGGAAACACACTACCGATTTGAACAGAGATTTAATGAAAGGTTGGCATACTTTTTGTTCGAGATCAACTCCATTCAGAAATGAAAGCTGTCTAGGCAGAAGAGCGAGAAACAGAGTAAAACACAAAAGAAGGGAGAGTTATACTCTTACGGTGACTTTTCATTTACAACCTCTCAGAATCACTTTTATTATTCATCAAATTAAATCAATAATTATAAAATAAAAAAATAAAGCGGTCAATAACATCGGATGAAAGCTGTTGATAGACGGTAATAAATAATTGTAAGGAATGAGTACGGTTTGGGGGCGTTTGAACAGAGCAGGAATTTTTTAATTCCTAGGAGTATGCCGGAAAAGGAATTTTCTATGAATATTAGCAAGATTTTTTTTATTTCTAAGAGTACGTTGAAAAAATAATTTTTTTATGAATATTATCAAAAAATTATTTAATAAGTCAAAATATTTTCAAAAATATTGGCTCAAATTTTCTGATTCTATATTTGATTGATTATCAATAATTTTTGTGGATATAAGTTGATTTTACAAAATTAATCTTTAATGAATTTTTGAAAAAAAAAGTTCTAATATATCACAAAAATGTTACCGAAGCGAAGTGTCGTGAAGCATAGAGAAATCCAATAAAGGCATCCTGAAAGGGAATAGAGGATTGTCGTGAAAGAGAAAAGAGAAATTCATGATTTTGTGAAGCAAAGTATCACAACTAGGGCTTTAATAAAAGAGGCTATGTTAATCATAAAATATTAAAGAAGAGTTATTTATATCCTATAAATTATGTAAAAAAAATTCCACCAATGAGAATCCAAGAATACCATCTACGTTGCGGTATTATTCATGGAATTATTATTTACAATTTTAATTTTCAGGAATCTTATTTTTCTAAGAAAACTTTAAGAATTCTTATACTAAATATGAGGTAACTACGATTTCCAATGTAAGTTTCCTGAAAATCCAAACTTTTTCCTAACAATCCCTAAAAACAATATGGATAAGTTGCAACTTATTTGTTGACGAAGAACGAGAGTATGAACCAAATATTATTGGTATAAGTGGTAAGAAGTTTGTGTCCTTTAATCAGAGGTCTTGAGTTCGAGTCCTAAGAATAAAAAAATGGTCTTAAAAGAGTTGACCCTCTATATAACACCTCGTAGATTTAAAATACATAATTATAGTTAAAATGATAATACAGGGTAGGATTAGTGAAAATCCTGAGTTCTGGGTCAAAATACGTAAAAATGGTAAAATGATAATTTGACAAACACGTAACCCTAAATAGTAAAATGTTAGTAGAACGATCTCAAATGGGAAAAATAACCTTGAAAATGGATCCATAACGAAAAATTGAGTGGTTAGGCAAGTTTCTAGAAATTTGATGAATAGTGTTTTTACCGGATAAAAATACAGCGGTACAATTGCACCGAAAAGTGTTCCTAGTGAAATTGAGCCCTAGGTTTGAAGATAAGTAGGAAAAGGTCCATAGGACTAAGAATTATAATTATTGATGAAATTTTATGAAAATTAGGATTTTTTGGGAAACGTGCCAGTAGTGCACCACGAGGGGTAAAACAATAATTTCACCGAATTACCGAAAAACTCCGGATTCATCTGATCAAGGATAATTAATAGACTATGTTGAATGTTAAATTTTTGATTTAATGGATAATTCATGGATTAACTGGTGATTAGTGAGTTAGATTGGTCGTTTAAGTGGTATTTCGTCCTTTGTGCGCCTACGTGGCAGTTCATGTTGGACAAGTGGCCTCAAACTCAAGAGGGGGGTGAATTGAGTTTTAAAAATATTTTCGTAAAGTGCCTCACTCTCTTTCTTGAAATCGATTTTCTTAGAATAATATAATTTGACACAAGCAAAGTTTAGAGAATAGAAATTAACACAAGCAAATGGTATGTAAAGAGAAGAGATAAAAGGTTCAAGTGATCAAATGATGCTAATATAAAGAGATGAAGAGTTAGAGAGATTGCAAACACTATATATCCTGGTTCGGTCACCACCACCGTGACCTACGTCCAGATTGAAATCCCCCGTTCAACTTTTCACTAAATTATCAAGCTTCAAGGGTGCTTGACAAACCACTACAACCTTCAAGAATATCGTTTCTTGAAACCTTTACACTTCCACTCACTTACTTAGGTTATGAGCAACCTCTTTCACTAGGGTCTCACTACCCTTAACACAAATGAACATATTGAGAGTATTTAGAAAAGGGATATGTACTCTTGAAGTACAGATTATACAAGTTGAAGCTTATAGGTATTGATCAATGACACAAGATTAGAGCTCAAAGGTGATTTATGATCAATATGATAGAAAGTTAGCAAATGATATGAAATAGAGCAAGAATAATGATTAGAAAAAGTGTCCCATCAATGTGAATAGTGATCACTATTTATAGAGGCCCCCCATGACCCTTTGAACACACATTTTCGCAAAATTAGTCGTTTATAGCCGTTATACTGCTTACTGTCCAGTAAGTATTCGAATACTATTCGTGAGGTATTCGAATACTTCAACTGGTATTCGAATACTTTTCTCACAGTATTCGAATACTTTGTTCTCAGCATGAGTATTCGAATACAGACAATGGAGTATTCAAATACTTTCTTTAGTTATGCAGTTTTATGAGTTGTGAAGTATTCATCTTGGTCTCTAATCACTTTCAATGTATTTCCTTGACTTGTACAAGATGTTTTGAAGTTATTAAACATGTCAAGGATATTTTTCATAACAATTAAGGCTTTCAAGTGATAGATGACATGGATATTGCATGCATAGAGTTAATTACCCTTTGAGCTCTTTTATGCATCATTAATCAATTACCTTTACATTTAGATCTAAGCTCTCAAGAGCATGAATCAATGATGATCTTGTGTGGTGACTGATTTGCTCTTGTTGACTTATTTGAATTGCTTCCTTGGGCTTTTGATTGTTGCGAGTTGTATTATCCTTAACATCGCTTCTATGCTTGTTTGTTATCATCAAAACTCTTGTATGATTGAATTCTTCATATTAAGCGCATTGGTTTCACAGTTCATGTCACTTAAGACACTTGAACCCCACTTCTCTCTCTCCTCAATTAGCACCAGCCCCTCCTCCCATGGCTGAATTGTGACATCCATTGAAGACCAAGCCAAGCTCACAACTCCTCACACATTCATCAAATCGAAAAATGTTATTACACGAAAGTTGTTCTCTTGCCTCAAATTAGTTGAACCCAACCTTCATCAACCATTGAGGATCCACGGTTAGGGAGAAAATCCCCTGTGACAGCCACAAAATTTTAGAGATTTTTGAGCTTGGAAGCTCACTTTGGTTCATTGGTTGTTTGAAGATCATTCCCTTAGACCCTAGGAGTTGATTTGTGGTGAGTTTCTCCATTTTCCCTTGAGTTTTCTTATGGATTGAAAAATGGATATGTTCTTGAATATGTGTTCTTGAGTGGAGCTATTTAGAGGCTTTAAATGACATGGTTCCTTTGGAATTTATTGCTTAGAATGATGTCTTGAGTAAGGAAATCCAATAAAATTTCAAGGCATTTGGAATTGTTTAACTTAGAAAAAATTTCATGGATGAACATAGTTCTTGAAAGATGAATTGTTGTAAAATTGTGAAATTGAGTTATGGATGAGTTATAATGGCTAATTACATAATGTGTGGTGCATTGGTTGTATGAAAATCAATTGAGAATCATTTGGTACCCCTGGAGTACATATTCGGCCATTTAGTGTATTTTGGAGCATGAGTGTGCAAAATTATATAATTGGATTGGTTGATGATTTAATCAAGTTTGTATGTGGAAATATGAGTGTAATATGATTTAGTGTTGATTTGCAAAAAGAATGAAGTATAGGAATTTCAAAAGAACCTTATGGACCTTTTAGGATCAACATATGGTTTGTTATGTTAAAAAAATCATATCTGGAGCTACAAGATTCCAAATGGAGTGTGGTTTGCGCCAAATTAAAGCTTTATGTGCCTATTATATCATATCAAAATTTCAGGGTAATTGGAGTTAAGATGAATTTTTCAGGATTAAAATGGCACATGATGTTAATGCTATAAAAAATGTGTGTATTTCAGCCTTTTAGAATTAATTGTGCAAATTAAGTGTTTAATTCATTGGTTATGTAAAACAATGATCCTTAGGACATTTAATGATGATTGGTTAGTATTTGAACCAAAGAAAAAGTGTGAAAGTATAATGAAGTCTTGTGTGTAGACTATGTTTATGTTAGAGTTGGATGAAAAAGTTATGTAGATTGTTAGTTTAGAAACTTGTATTAACTTGTAGTTATGAAAAATGTGTTAATATGTATTAATTGTAATTTGATGGTACATAGGTTGAAGAACAAGTTTAGAAGCATTGGATTAAATATGTGAAATTCAAGTAAGCTTTGGAATTGAGCTTCTTACAGGTAATCTCTTGGTATTGGGGTTAATCCTCATATGTGCTCCACCATGTCCATTGGGATAGTGGTTGGAAGTTGTATGCTCTAATGCACCGACACGAGAATTTTTTGAAAAATTACTTGTCGGACACGGACACGTTCTGACACGTTCCGACACGCAGTCAGCTTTTTGGGACACATTGACTATTCCGACACGCGACTTTGACCGAGTCCGACACGTAGTCAACATTTTTGGACACGTTTTGAATTTTTTATAAAAAAATTAATAAAATTATAATTTAAAATAATGTAAAAAACATTTAATAAAAATTAAAAACAGAATAGAACCCTATCTCTTTCTCCACGTTGACGCGTTGCAAACTGGCCTCCTTCTTCCTCGGTCGGCTGCTGCAATTGGCCTCCTTCTTCCTCAGTCGGCTGCTGCTTGACTGTTCTTCTTCATCGTCTTTTTGCTTCCAAGTTGCTAAGTGAGTAAGTGATATAATGTCTCTCTCACTCATCCACCCCTTTCTCTCTGTGATGTATGTTACCTTGGTCTCGTTTTACTGTTCCTCTTTTTTTTTCATTTATTTTATTTTACCTTTCATTAGCTTAGTTTCTAAAAGTAATCGAATGGATTGCTTTATGTTATGTCCTG